TCTCTCAACATCAAGAAGACTAAAGTGTTCTATCAGCCTGCCCCAGGCCATCAATGTGACCCCTCTCCGCAAAATACCATTGAGAGAGAGACCCTGGAGGCAGTTGAGCCTTTCCCTTACCTCAATAGCCATCTCAGAGAGTGAATATTGGTAAGAAGATCCAGCACAGTATTTGGTATGCAAATACCTCCTTTGGAAAATTGCTTCAACATGTCTATTCATTGCAATGTCTGGGAAGACGCAAAGATCCAGCTCTGCAATGCACTCTTCTCTACAGATACGTAATGTGAGCAACCTACCATCATAATCTCAAAGCAGAGAAGAGAGAGTGGAGGAAGAAGGAAAAAGAGAGGAATCCTAGCCTGCAACCTACTCTCCCCTGTGGAAAGGTCTGCAACTTCTGCAGACAGATCTGTGGCTCAAGCATCAGACTTTTAAATAATCTCAAGACTGATCAATGAGCTGTGGTAAAGATCATCCTCAAATCAAGGGGTTGCTGATGTATGCAATACCAGAGTATTTTCAAAAATGTAATGTATGCAATACGAAGAGTAGACCCAAAAATTAGATCCTAGTTTTGGATCCCAGTTGTCATGATTCTGGCAATTGGGGGATTGTCTGTTCACCAGCAACAGTACCGCACTGACACCATGGTTGAGGAAGGGGGCTGTATAAGTGTCTACATAGATGGCTGAAGCACGAAATGAACAGGGATGAGGCCCTCTGAGCAGCAGGAACTCTCTTCACCATGAATTTGGCTCTTAGTTTAGGTGTAAGCTGCAGATATGAACCTTACAACGTTGCCATTGCTTTCACTGTTAGCTCACAGTGTAGTTCGCTGTTGACCAACAGATGCATGGACCCATTTGATACTTCATTGCAACTAGACATTGAGCCATTAAGGCCTATTTGCTGGCTACGATGATCCAACCTGTGTGAGGAAGATTTATGGCAAACTTCTTTAGTATTTTGAAAGTTCAAGCTGTAGAAGCATTTTAGAAAAGTACTGATAGTTGCTTCCTTTGAGTGTTTCCCACACAGTTCATTTCCATAAATTAGTGGTTGAAAAGGAAGCCAGGCTAGCTGCATGCAGCTCTCACCAACACCTTGCAGGAAAAAAGTTTATCTGTGAGAACATGGCAGGCTCAGGATAAGGGACGCTGCCTGAAATTCCTCTGAATTAATAACCACTAGGTAGCATTTATAGATTTCATAGATTTTCAGGGTCAGAAGCCAGCTCAGCAGAACATCGAGTCTGATCCCCTGCCCCAGGCAGGAAAGCGTGCCGGGGTCAGATGACCTCAGCCAGGTGTTTGTCCAGTCTCTTCTTAAGAAGGATTTGTTATTTCTGCTGCTGAAACAGCTGGCCTAAGTCAACTGAATAAGGAATCGATTCTGATTTTGTTCAACAGATGTTTTCTAGGGCTCATAGCTGATTAGAAAAATCCATAGATTTGCTAAGTCTTAAAAGCAATTTTGGAGACTTGTGTAACACGAGTATTTACAGAGCTTATCACTGTATGTGTATCCCTGATTTAGAAAAAATATGTAAGTATATATGCTAATAGAGGTACATACAAAGATGTTAGTCTATGAAGAAACATAATTTGATCTTCAAAAAGACTGGAAAATCAAGGACAGTACATGAGAAATCTTTTGTACAGAGCTTGGTAGAAGAAAACAAATAGCAAAGTGTTGAGAGACCAGAGTCAAAGTCTCAAACATGGCAGGCCCTGGGCTCCAGTGCCAGGAGGTTGTGGGAGAGTTTGAATGCATCATTTTCAGTGCCTGGGTAAGAGAGGCGACTTACCCTGGCAAATTTTAAGATGGGAATCCACATGCTCCTAAAAGGAGAAGCATCCAGCAGTTGTGTGTTGACCTTGTTATCAGGTCACTGAAGTGGGAGACAATATGAGCAACCATTTTGTTTCTGTATAAGGGCCCCAAAAGACACCTCCCATCTTACAGAAAATGTAGCTGGGGTGCACACACAGGAGTATGTGCACATTTAGTGATTACTTGTCTGGATTTGCATTTTGCAGTTCAGTAGAGAACGGGCGACCTCCTGACCCTGCTGACTGGGCTGTTACCGATGTTGTAAATTACTTCAGAACTGCAGGATTTGAAGAACAAGCCATTGCTTTTCAAGAACAGGTAACTTGGGAAGCCTGTGTTAACCCTTCAACTGCCACAATGCTTTGACACCTCATATTGTGCCACAGGGGCTCACTGTACAAAAGTTACTGCACAGGCAATTGGAGAGGGCTCCTTGGAAGGGATCATGTGTGTGAATGCTCCTGGGGTTTTTATTTTTGCATGCTTTTTCCTTTCATGAAGCACTGCTGGAGAAAAGCTAGTCTTGTAGTTTTAGCACTAGTCTGGAAGCTTAAAAAAAAAAAAGCTGTTCCTGGCTTGGCTATAGTCTTCTTGTACAACCCTGGGAAAGTCACTATTTCAGCTTCACTGTACTTTAAATAGGGATAGCATTTTTCCACCTTAGAGATGCATTGTGCAGGTAAATCCAGGAATGCATGGCAGATGCTGATGCTTTGAAAAGCAAATTGCTGTGGAAGAGCATGTCAGCAAAGTGGGGCAGGGGCTGCTTTGTTCAATTTGAGGCTTTTTCTGTTGGTTTGGGTAAAGGGTTCCAGGCAAAAGTTAGCTAAAGAGAGAAGGAAACAGCATGTTGAAAGTAGAGGAAAGAGCTCATACTCCTGCATGGCAGCAGTTTCTCTGCCATGTGAAGGATCCATGGCCTTAAAAATGGACAGAAAGGGCAACCAGAGAGTGAATTACACTAGAAGCTGATAAGGAGGAATGTGGAGCCATTCTCTTACCCATCACTGCTTCAAGTTTGACCCATGTCACAACTGACCAGGGAGAGCTTCAATGTCCCATGTAAAAAGACTCTACTATTTACATAACCACCATGAGATGGTACCAACTAACATATTTGCTGGCAATGAGTGTCAGCAGCAAGGTTGAATGATTGAACAGGTCCTTGAAACTGTGTCAGCTGCACACTGCTGAGGCATACGAGTGAGACAGTGTCAGGAAAATTGCTTGCTTACGCACTGCCATGTAGTGCATATGTAAATCCAGATTTTAGAAACCAGGTCTATCAGTCTGGCTCACACTTTGTGAACACTAATCCCCAACTGTACAAATTTTGGGACGTAAATTTAAATAGCAAATTTTCTATTAATGTAGCAGAATAAGTGGTCTGGTTTTTTGCGAGGTGCAGTATTCCTGGGCATAGCAGCACTCTTAAATATGAGGTTCAGGTGCCTCAGTATGGATTTAGCTGCCCAAGTTTAAGTCTCCAAACTCAAATGCTTTCCCCAAATGGTATATTAACAGTGAATGAATGAATACCAAAGTAATCTGATCTGATTAGAGAGGTGATGTTCTGGAAACACTTTTCTTTTTATTCTTTACATCCTTCATTGAGATGTTATTTCCTACAGTTCAGGATCTGATAAATTCAAAAATACTGGCGAGAAAAATCACACTGATGAGCCAAAGAGTATCAATCTCTTTCCTGACAAGCTGTTTCTACCTGTTTTCTTTGTTTGCTTTTTAAGATTTTCTACAAATTAAAGAGTTCTGTTTCGGTGAAGTAAAATTTGAACCGGGAAGATAGATGTAACATGCATTTGAATCATATTTTCCCTCTCCCAATACAACAAACCCATTTTAATGGACCTACGATGATTACCAAAAGTGATATTTCGCACATATTTTAAATATTTCAGAACCTGTATTCTGACTCTTTGCCGCCTTCTGATATAGTGGTATATTGATATACCTCCCTTGAACTGAAAGACTGCTTATTTAATTAGAGATGGTTCTGAACTTGTCAAATACTTCAGTTTCTCCATCTATCCATCTACTTAAAATTTGCCATAAACTCTTCCAGAGGTTGAAGGTCTAACTTCTTGCAGTTACCAAAAAAAGCCTGCCACAGAGCTGCCTTAGCATTGTTTTGCACAGTGCAGTTAAATATGATAATGAATACAGAACTCTTCAAAACAAATGTGGCATTGAAAGAAAAATAAAGTTACCCTCCTGCACTGGGTTAATTTAGCTGATTTAGGAGCTAAAAAAAATAAAACCCACATGTAATTTGTAAGTACAGTGTGGTAGCTAAATTATGTCTTTTATTCTTGTGGGAAAAACTAGCCTTGTTTTGGGTATTTCCCCAGAAGGGGTCAAGTAGGCTCTTTCTGCAGCTGTTTTTAATTTGTTAGCATATTTTATATTTCAAGGGGTACATTTAACATTAAATTAATGCAACACAATAAACTTCAGAGCAGTTCATGCCAGAATCAACTGGTCCCAGGCACAGCATATACACATGTGCCCGGGACAGCTGCAATTTGGAGCAGGCCTCTGGCTGGCTGGGCTGACTGGGTGCAGTAAAGTTTTGGCCCAGTAAAGTACTCCACTGTCAGATGGTATTGTCCCCCAACAGTACTATTCTACAGCTGAGTTAATTAGTTTACCGTGCCCTTGTACTGGTGCATATGCGGACCGTGACACTTTACTGCAGAGCTAATTAGTCAATTCTGCAGTAAAGCACCCAAGATGAACAAATAAGCAGCCAAGTGTTTTACCCAAGTTTAATAATTCTTGATCAAGAAGATCATCTGTGACTCCCTTCTGGCCACACAGGAAGGATGGCTTTATGTGTAAGATGGACACAGACTAAGGATTCGGGAACCCTGGCTTTTCTTTCCGACCCTGTGGCAAATGCCTATGTGACTTCAGTCAACTATCTTAACTTCCCAGTGCCTCAGTTAACTTGCCAATACTGTAGCAGTAAAAACTCTTAACCTTACAGCGGCACTATTAGGCCAACCCACTAAGGTCTGGGATAGACATTGCATAACCCGATTTGAGCCAAATCGGTTAAGTCTGATACTACATTCAACCAGCTTTATCTCAAACAGGTTTCAGCCATTTTCAAACTGGTTTATGTGCACTGAACATCTGCTCTGTTACAGGTTTAAACCAATTTCTGATCATCACTGAAACCGGTTTATGTGTAATGTCTGTCCCTAACCTGAAAGAACTGTGAGACTACAGGATGGAAAGTGTAGAAGCACAAAGTACTTTTATTTTATTAATTAGAAAAATATTATAAAAATACAAGTTATCTTGATGACAGTGAGGTAGGACGGCTGCCATGGGTTTGTGGGGAAAGCTGCTAGCCATCAAGATTCTGTTTATCTATGTATTTCTGTTAGTTGTTGCGTCTCTAAGGCTCCTCAGATTGGTTTTCCTCTTGGAACCCATCCATTATGGCAGCACAGCAGGACCAGTGCCAGCACTGCACTTCTCTGCTGGCCTCTGTCTACTCTCATACGTGGCCACAGAGCAGACAGCAGGGGTTAATACTGCTCCAGGATTTTCCACTTTCACTTCAGCAACTTTCCAAGGGACAGGTATGAGCTGGTCCATCTTCTTATTCCTCTTGTCCCACTCATGTGGAGGGGAAATGTGATTGTGTTTGTGTGGTAGGAAGTAAGCTACTTCATCTACCCATGCCCTGGAAAATTGTTCTCCACTGAACTGTTTCCTCCTTCATCATTAAGAAGAGGGAACACAAAGATCATTTTTGTTTACAGGGGTTGGACAAAACATACACCTATCCAGGAATTATTGCAAAATGTGACTTCCAGCTTTGTAGACCACTCCACCTTTGAGTAATGGAAACTAATTCTATGCTGTCTTTGGAATGAGCTTGTAATTCATGTTTTGACTCTTCTGTAAAATGCTCTGACGTTCTATATGTAACGGTAAAATTCTCAGTGCCAGTACCAAAAATAACCCCACCAATATTCTTGGCTGCATCATAGCAGAGGTTTACAATTCATGGATGCCATATGTAGTTCTCTGTAACCACTGGCACAACAATTTAACCAATGGGATTACAGAATGCAAATAAAGTAACATCATCAGTATGGTTATTCTCTGATGTCACAATCACTCTGTGCCATCAATGACAACTATCTTGAAATTAAACCACTGACTTTTTGTGTCTTTCTGACAAAGAGACCTTTATAAAAGCCTAATCATGGAGAAGCATAGAGGGATGCTTTGTTTATCGCTTTAATTTGAACTTATTTAATTTTTAAAAACTTACAGTATTTCTTCATATACAGCTGAGAAGAATCACTTTCACTGAATCTTCTGTGATTATTAAGAAGCAGATCTTCATTTTATTGTTGAGACAAGATGGTGAATTATTATGAGGTTCTAGGAGTGCAAAAAAATGCCTCTGCTGATGATATTAAAAAGGCCTACCGAAAGCTGGCTTTGAAATTGCATCCAGATAAAAATCCAGAGAATAAAAAAGCAGCAGAAAGGGAATTTGTTGAAGTCTTTAAGGCATATGAGGTTTTATCTGATGCCAAAAAACGGAACATCTATGACAAATCTACTGAAGGAGTTTTAATTAGGCAACAAAGAAAAGGTGGAGGTAAAGGTGAAAGAAAAGAAAAAGATAGGAAGAGAGAGAAATTCAAAAAAGGGGAACACTTTGATTCTGAATTCACATTCAGTAGCCCTTATCCAAATGTTTTTGGAGGAACAGATGCCTTTTCAGGGAAACTCTTGGATGATGCACTTGAGGCCTTTTCTGACATTCCTGGAAGACTCCATGGAAGAAGACGCAGAGGCAATGAAGGATATTCTGTCTCTATTTTTGGAGTGTCTCCTATTTCAGGGACTGGATTTACCTCATTTGGTTCTCAGCAAGCTCGGGGCTGCTCTTCATCCACCATCACTTCACTCAACAACAGTGGGAAAGGCAACTTCAAATCAATCATAACAACCAGCAAAATAGTTAATGGTGTCAAAGTCGCCACCAAAAGAATTGTGGTGAATGGAAGAGAGAGAATAGAAACCATTTTTGACCATTAAAATTCTCAACAGCAAGTGGTAAGAGGCCATGGATATAATTGAATAACAGGTTATTGTAAAGACATTGTCAGAGATGTTAAGCTATGACGCATTATTTTAGGAACTAACAGGAATAGTTAGCAGGGAGATTTCAAACAGCTGTACTTTGTTTCATGTAGTTTAAAGGAAAGTATTTATAAATAGCTCATCCAGATTTAGTGTAAAAGTACCATAGATTTATGAATTATGTCTTGTATTGTTATGTATCAAACATTTTAAAGACTGAAAATATCTATATATATGCATATATGTATATAATTTCTCTGCACTTTGCATTTATTAAACTTTACCTAAGACACTGATCACAGTTCAGGCAAATCAATGTGAACACAATAATGAATCCTTTGTTTCTCATGGTTTTGACTGTGAACCAAAATGCTCTCTGTCATGAAGTTCACATTTCCTGAGCAAACAACACTGATATAAATTTGTAAAAAAATAATAATAATAATAACCCCTAGAAGTTTGTAAAAAGAAAATAACAATACATTTTTTGGGGGGGGGGGTTGCATAAATGCTGACAGCTTAGAATATTTTAATAAACAATTAACTATATGTTATAGTGTAGGCAAAGAGGTTTGAGTACAAGTTAGAAACTGTTTGTTAGCCTTTTGTGAACAAATTCAGAATCCCTAAATGCTTTACTTTATTAAATCAAATTACAGAAAAGGCTGTGTAGCATAACTGCATCAAGGCACATAGTTCTCAGGAACTCAGCATCCAAAAGTAATTCACTTCAGCCCTTTGATGCCAATTATTGCTCATCAGACTCTGTTGTGTGTAAAGCTTCTATAGGTGTAGTTTGGAGAGTGTCATATAATATCATTGCTTTAAAAAGATAGTTTTATGCTTAAAGCACAGAAGTAGCTGTTAGGGGATCTGGGTTCTATTTCTGCGTCTATGATCATGGAGAAGTTATCGACAATGAATTTTTCAAAAGTAATCTCAGATGGACAGAGCATGAGACGAGAAAGCATGATTGTCCTAATTTCACAGACAGGGAACTCAGACGCACAGAGATTTAGTGACCTGGGTCACACAAAACAATAGCTAACCTAATTGAACACGAAACTTAGATCTCTGAATCCCAGTTCACTGCCTTTCCCACAAGACTTCTTTTCCCTTTCTGTCTAATACTAAAACAAGCTACACCATCTGTACCTATTCATTTGAAGTAAACATATGGTGGAAGGAAAAAATCTTACATATGGATGCCTCAAGATAGGTGCCTGCATGAATGACACATTTCCTATTGCTACTGGAATCCATGGACTTGGCAGGTACCTTAACACTTTTGAAAATCAGGGCAGTAGTAGCCAGTGTTCATTTGCAGATGTTCAACATTTAGAAAAGATCAAGCCTTTATTTTTTATTTTCATTACCGATCCTCTGTTTTATTTCTGTCTGTTGCAAAGCTCTTCTTTTTAGATTTATACATTTGCCTTAATTATTCTTTAATTCTTCTTGTAGGAAATAGATGGGAAATCATTACTACTGATGACAAGAAATGATGTATTGACTGGACTTTCATTAAAACTGGGGCCAGCTTTGAAAATCTATGAGTATCACATAAAACCTCTACAGACGCAACATCTAAAGAACAATTCTTTATAGCAGACTGTCTCTTTGGGGTAACATTGTGCCTCAAATAATAAATAAGCAATTTGGTTTCATATGATGGAACTATGTAAATCAAGAATATGTATGTTAAGAATTTAAACAAAATGAAAATAATATATATCCTATTGGATAGATTTGGCAATGTAGTGCACTAAGTCTGGATTCAGAGCGGTGGTTTGAATTTTCAGATGGTACCTAAAAATTTTCCCTTTCAGCTTCTTCACTGAAGACACTGGGATAGTCAGATTATTATAATATCCTGATGAGAGAGGGAAGGTTTTTTCTTCATTTTTAAGCCACACAAGAGGTTGACTTCTAAGAGTTACTAAAAATACCAAAACAGGTTTATTTACGTACATCTCTAGGGTTGAAACAGCAAAAGTAGATTTTGTTTTATGCCAAATACCTGCTGAAGTTACTGCTCCTTGTAATTTATGGAACTAGATTGGGATTTGCCAACTCACCCTTTTTTTGCAGAGGGTCCTATTTTTGACCTTATTAAGGTTTACTTGTGGTATGTTGCAATGTTTAATGCTGTACATACAACTAACATAGCCCCTTCTATAGCAGAAGGCGTTGCTGACAGTTAAAACTGGGTTGCATATTTTGGGTGTCATTTAAATTTTCAGCTTGTTTTCACCCAATTTTAATAGTAGTTCTCGATAAAGTATGCTTGTTTTTAAAGAGCCCGTATTGCTTTGTGAAATAAAAATGTTTGTTTTATTTTTTTTAATTTAAAACAACTTGTTTTCTAACAATTTTTGCAGAAGGTTGTAAAAATAAGTTCTGCACATTTTTAAATATTATTGTATTTCATGGTGTTGTAATGAATAATTTTTTATGCTTTACTTGACTTACGGCTTAGAAGCTTGTTTCCAAAAACTTGAAAAAAGCTGTCTTGTTACCATACATCTCTGTTAAAAGAGAGTCTTGTTCAATCTGTTTGTACCAGTTCTCTATTTGATAGGCTGCTTGCTATTTCAATAAAGCATTCTTTATGTTTGGATTCAGTTTCCTTTAGAGTGATCAGCTGTCTCAGTTATCTTAGTTGTAGTTGTACCTTTGTTGTAGCATATGGAGGTTCCTAATACTCTTTCTCTATTTACACAGTAGCATGAAGTCAGAAGACTACTTGATGTTCTGTGTTGTCATTTGTTTAAATGTTTTGCTTTCTTATCTATCCATTCACCCTTCTGGCACCTGATTTTCATCTATTATAAACTGTAGGAGTAAGAACTTGCTGACCAGACATTTACTGCAAACATGGCAAGTTCCCAACACTTCTAACTCTCTGCAAATTTAATTTGCTCATTTGTCCATATCCACAGAAATTCATGCTCTTACCCTCTGAATGGAAGTTATTTCTGTAGAAAACCATCTCCTCTATTACGCTTGATGTTCTCAGTGAGGACCTATGCAAAACATGGGAGGTGATAGTACCGCTCTACTCAGAATTGGTTAGCTTCAGCTGCAGGATTGTCCTGTTATCAGCACTCCATTTTAAGAAAGATATAGAAAAACTGGAAAAGGTCCATTAAATATAATACTGTATTTGTAAGTGCGTGAAATAATCATTAATATACATGATACAAAGAATTTATATCGATTTATTCATTGACTGTAGAGAATGACAGTTGCCAATTCAAATCTCTGCAATGTAACAAAGCTGATTTACTCAAGATTTCTTTGCAGTTCTTCTTGCCATGTTTTAAGCGCAAACAACTTTGATTCAAAAGCACCCAGACCCATTTTCTTTTTGATCAGTATTTTGAACTGGCTCATGCAAGCAGAGGCAACTTGCTAGCAGGATGAAAAGGAATCTGGAGGCAGCTGTGCAGAATAGAAGTGAGTTGGTTACTGTCTGTGATCGCTGTGTTTCTTTACCATTTTGTTAGCTTTCCTTTGCTGTCACAGTCTCTGCACGGTCCACTGCTTGGTTTTGTTTTATTAAATGATTGGTGGTATTTTTGAAAACCTCTGCTTCAGAACAGATTGTGAGTCATTTGAAAGGGGAAGCCAAAGCCAGATGTTTTCAGCTAACAGACCCTCTCTTTCCCTCACCAGACATGTAACTTATGAAGTGTTGAGCCAGAGACTATACAAATAGTCTATTCACCTCTCTCTAGCTACAGACACACAAGGAAGGGATGGTCTGCTGTTTTGCTCCTGAAACGGGTCCTATTCTCCCAACTCACTAATGGCCACTGCTCTAGAGGTGGGCAAAAGACACCTTGGAAACCTTAAAAGCCAATCTGAAGAAATTTGATATTAATATCAATACCTGGGAGACTTGAGCACTGAATCATCCCTTGTGAAATACAAGGCATTGGCCATTTTGACCAAACCTCACTATTAGGCCTGTGTGAACAGGGAAGTATTTGAGTCGGATTTGGAGTCTGCAACAGCAGGGATGATAGCCCCTTCTGTGGGCATGAGGCCTGCCAGGTTTCAAGGAGGTAAGAACAGGGGTTTCTGGGAAACTGCAACTAAAACTGTTCAAAGCAAAACTCATGACGTGTGACTTTGTGTGTGTGTGTGTGTGTGTTAAGGCACAGTGGGATGAAAACAGCAGG